AAGCCTCTCGGGCTGGTGAGTGCCGGTCGGCGCCGATCCTCTGTGCGGGAATCTCTCCGCTTTGCCCTCCGCGCCCCTGTTGCTGTGCTGTCCTCCGTGGCTCCGAAGCTCCCCCCCCCCGACCCCCCATCTCCACCAGTGAGGGGGCTTCCTAGTATGTGGAAACTTTTCTTCCTTCACAGCTCCCTCCCAGAGGTGCAGGTCCTGTCCCTATTCTATTTTCTTTTTCGCGGTATGCAGGCCTCTCACTGTTGTGGCCTCTCCCGTTGCGGAGCACAGGCTCCGGAAGTGCAGGCTCAGCAGCCATGGCTCACAGGCCCAGCCGCTCCACGGCATGTGGGATCTTTCCGGACCGGGGCATGAACCTGTGTCCCCTGCATCGGCAGGTGGACTCTCAACCACTGCGCCACCAGGGAAGCCCACGTTCCTATTCTTTTATCTCTGTTTTTTCTTTTGCCCTACCCAGGTACGTGGGTATTTTCTTGCTTTGGGGGAAGTCTGAGGTCTTCTGCCAGTGTTCAGTAAGTGTTCTGTAGGAGTTGTTCCACATGTAGGTGTATTTTTGATGTATTTTTGGGGAGGAAGGTGATCTCCATGTCTGACTCCTCCTCCATCTTTAGGGTCCCCCTAATTTATTTTTTGGGGGGCCACACCGTGCAACATGCAAGATCTTAGTTCCCTGACCAGAGATTGAACCCAGGCCCCCTGCATTGGGAGTGTGGAGTCTTAACCACTGGACTACCAGGGTAGTCCGAGAAGGATATTTTTCCAAAATTTATAGGAATCCATCATATTTCCCACCTTTATGGGCATGGGCTACTGCAGGGGAACTTGATGAGCAGTTTACTCAACCAAATGGTCATTATCTTCATAGGACAGAGGTTGGCACACTTTTTCTGTAAAGGGCCGCAGAGAAATATTTTCAGTTTTGTCGGCTTCTGTCACAATTACTCAACTCTGCCTTTGTAGAGCAAAAGCAGCCATAGACAATACATAATAAAGAAACAGTCATGACTGTGATTCAGTAAAACTTTATTTACAAAAGCAGGCAGCAGACCAGGCTCAGCCCATGGGTTATAGTTTGCTGACTCTGATCTAGAACCAGTTCAATCCAAAAGGAGAATCCAGGTGACTAAACCAAGATTAAGTTTGAATTCTATAAGCTCCTTTTTGGCCAGGCTGCCACCCAGCTGTACCAACCAGGCTGGCTTGGGGTAACTGTTAGGGAAAAGAAAGATGCATCATGCTCAGGAAATGTCAGAATAGAATTCTAAAATTTCAGAATTGGTCAAGATAACCCTCCACCCCTTTTATCCTGATCATTATCTAGAAGGTGGCCAAGGGGATGTGAACTCTTTCAGTGGATGCTTGCATTTAATTAAGATGTGTGGACCAGGAGAAAGTGAAGGAGGTAGAGTCAGAAATCTCTTTAGTTGACTTTTTAAAAAATCCATTTACCTCTTGTTGGAACCAGCAGCTTGAGGATAATAAGGGATATGAAATGTCCATTGAATACCTTGACTATTGGTCCAGTGTTGAGTGAACCTTTGCAATAAGAGACATCATACTGTCCAACTGAATATGGCCTGAAAGGCCAAAAACATAACACATTTTATGTTATGGCCAGTGTGGCTTGAGTTGGTTGATCAGACTGGAACAGTGACACCATAACCTGAAAATATATCGACAACAGTAAGGCATCAATGGAGGACCCAAGGCAAGTGGTCAAAGGCTCAATATAGTCAGCTTGTCAGGAGTGAGAGGGGACAACACTCTATGTATTGTGGCCTATTTAATTAGAAAACAAACAGGCAAACTTATTTTTTTTAAATTTATTTTATTTATTTATTTTTGGCTGTGTTGGGTCTTCATTGCTGTGTGCGGGCTTTCTCTAGTTGCAGCAAGCAGGGGCTACTCTTCGTTGAGGTGCGGAGGCTTCTCATTGCGGTGGCTTCTCTTGTTGTGGAGCATGGGCTCTAGGCTTATGGGCTTCAGTAGTTGTGGCATGTGGGTTCAGTAGTTGTGGCTCATGGGCCCTAGAGTGCGGGCTCAGTAGTTGTGGCACACGGGCTTAGTTGCTCCGCAGCATGTTGGATCTTCCTGGACCGGGGCTTGAACCCATGTCCCCTGCATTGGCAGGCAGATTCTTAACCACCACACCAGCAGGGAAGCCCAACAGGCAAACTTTTGAAAGGAGGCACAAGACTGGCATGCAGTGGTAGCTTTAACATCAGACACAGATAATCCTTACTTTCCTCGGCCATGATGGTGGATGTGTTGCCATGTTCTGTGTGATGATGGATTCCCAGTAGCAATGACAGGGATCTGGGTGGGGCATACTTAATTAACAGCATGAACCCAGCCCATTCCATTAGGGAATGAGCCATTGCCATGTATATCAGCTATAATTTGTTTCTACAATTCACAGTCCTAAAGAGGACTTGATCTTTAATGTACCAATATGTGGTCTTGCAAATGGCAGACCAGGTGACTAGGCAATTGGCAATAGTCCAAGAGTCAGTAAAAATATAAGCTTTAATCTTAGTAGTATTACCATTATCTAAGGTAGATATTGGCAAACTGCTGTAAGTCTAGACAATGAATATTTTCAGACTTGCAGGCCATACAGTCTCAGCTCTGCCATTATAGTGTGTGAAAGCAGCCATAGACAGTACATAAATGAACAGACATGGCTGTGTTCCAAGGAAACTTTATACACAAAAGCAGATAACAGGCAAGATTTGGCCCATTGGCCATAGTTTTCTGACCCCTGGTCTAAGACAGTGGTAACAGCTTTTATTGTATTTACCCAGAAACTGCCTTTGAGAGGACCCAGATGTTGGACTTAGCAAAGACTTAAAGAAACTACTATAAACATGTTCAAAGAACTAAAGGATACCATACTTACAGAAGTCAAGGGAGAAACAGCTTGGCAGTTCCTCAAAAAGTTAAACATAGAATTACCATATTACCCGGCAATTCCACTCCTAGGTATGTACCCAACAGAATTGAAACTGGGTAATCAAACAAATACTTGTACACAAATGTTCATAGCAACACTGTTCACAACAGCCAAAATGTAGAAGCAACCAAAATGTCCATCACCAATGAATCAATAAACAAAATGAGGTATATCCATACAATGAAATATCATTCAGCCATAAAAAGGAATAAAGTGCTGATACATGAGCATGGATGAACCTCAGAAACATTATGCTAAGTGGAAGAAGCCAGACACAAAAGTTCACATTTATATGAATTAATTTATATGAAATACCTGAAACAGAAAATTCCATAGTGAAAGAAAGCATATTGGTAGTTGCCAGGTACTGGGGAAAAAGAGGAATGGAAATTGACTCCTTAATAAGTGTAAGTTTTCTTCTGGGCTAATGAAAATGTTTTATAAGTATAGAGGTGGTGGTTACACAACATGAATATACAAAATGCCACTGAATTGTACACTTTAAATGATCAATTTTATATTATGCGAATTTCACCTCAATTTCAAAAAAAGGAAAATAAAAGAAGTAAAGAAAGGCATGATGACAATGTCTCATACAGTAGATACAATAGAGAATATTTATATAGAGATAGAAATTATGTATAAAAAAGAACCAAATGGAAATTCTGGAATTGAAAAAGTACAATAACTGAAATTTAAAAATCACTAGAGGGACTCAGTAGTAGATTTGAACTGGCAGAAGAATTATGAATTTGAAGATAAATAATAGTATGCAATCTGAAGTGTGGAAAGAAAATAGGATGAAGAAAATGGAACAGAACCTCACAGAAGTATGGGATAAGCATGTCAACGTACATGTGATGGGAATACCAGAACAAAAGGAGAGAAAGGAGCAGAAAAAAATTCTTGAAGAAATAATAGCTAAAAGCCAGATTTAATGAGAAATATTAATCTATACATCCAGTAAACTCAGTGAATTGAAATTAACTCAATTTGTAGGATAAATACAAAGAGATCTAAACACAAATATCGTAGTAAAAATGCTGAGGCCAAAGACCCGAAGAAAATCCTGTAAGCAGCAAGAGAAAAAATTACTCATGTATAAAGGAAGCCTAATTAGATTAACAGTGGACTTCTTATCAGAAACAATGGAGGCAGAAGGTAATGGGATGGCATATTTAAAGTGCTGAAAGAAAAACCTCAACTAAGAATCCTATAAATAGCAAAACCCAACTTAAAAGTGGGAGCAGGATCTAAACAGATGGTTCTATAAAGGAGATATACAGATGGCTGACAAGCACATGCAAAGATGCTCAACATCATCAGCCAGCAGTGAAATGCAAATCAAAACCACAATGAGGGGCTTCCCTGGTGGCTCAGTGGTTGGCAGTCCTCCTGCCAATGCAGGGGGTGCGGGTTCGTGCCCCGGTCCGGGAGGATCCCACATGCCGTGGAGCAGCTGGGCCTGTGAGCCATGGCCGCTGAGCCTGCGCGTCCGGGGCCTGTACTCCACAATGGAAGAGGCCACAACAGCGAGATGCCCGCATGCCGCAAAAAAAAAAAAAACAAAACCATTTTTAAAAAACCACAATGAGCTATTATTACTTCATCGCCACTGGGATGGCTATATTAAAAAAAGACAGATTAGGGACTTCCCTGGCAGTCCAGCGGTCAAGACTCCACGCTCCCAATGTAGGGGGCCCGGGTTCAGTCCCTGGTCAGGGAACTAGATCCTATGTGCATGCCGCCACTAAGAGTCCGCATACCACAACTAAGAGCCTGCATCCCATGATGAAGATCCTACATGCCACAACTAAGACCTGGTGCAGCCAAAAAAATAAATTAATTAAAAAAAAGATTAAAGAAAAAAGATAACATCAAATATTGAAAAGGATGTTGAGAAATTGTAACCCTCACACACTGATGGTAGGAACATAAAATGGTGCAGCCACTTTGGAAAATAGTTCAGTAGTTCCTCAGATGTTTACACATAGAGTTACCGTATGATCCAACAGTTTCATGTGACCCAGCAACTGAGCTCTTAGATATGTCCCCAAAAGAAATGAAAACGTATGTCCATCCAAAAACTCATACACAAATGTTTATAGCAGCATTATCCATAATAGCCCAAAAGTAGAGACAACCCAAATACCCATAAGCTGATGCATGGATAAACAAAAGGCGGTAAAAAGTAACGAAGTGCTGATACATGTTACAACGTAGATGAACTTGAAAATGCTATGCTAAGTGAAGGAAGCCAGTAATAAAATACCACATATTTTATGATTCCATTTATATGAAATGTGCAGATAGGCTAAATCTAGAGATACAGAAAATAGCACCCTGTCTCAATGTGTCTTCACATGGTAGAAGGGGCTAGGGATTTCTGTGGAGCTTCTGGTAGTTCCCTAGGCTGTGGAAGGTGGGGAGGATTGGCAGGTGACTGCTAATGGGTACAAGATTTCTTTTTAGTGTATTGAAAATCTTCTGGAATTAGGTAATGATGATGGATGCACAACTCTGTGGATTCACTAAAAACCACTATTATATGTTATATCTTAATAAAGCAGTTACTCCCCAAATGATCGTTTTAAAAGTTAAGCTTTTAACTTTTAGAATAAATAACATAACTTTCTGTTGATGGTAGAGCATCTGATTTCAATATCGTAACAGAGTTGAGGATAATGAGAGCTGAGAGAGTCTAAACTCGTTACCCTTCTTATTTCTTGTAGTCCATCCAGTATGAATTACTTAAAATGTGTACACAACCTAAATAATGCATAGTTTTGGAAAACGGGAGTGAAATCCATGGAGATGTGCCACACAGCTCACCCTTCAGGGAAGGACTTTCTGCCCTCCTGTGGGAGGAGGGTGGGCAGATAGCTTCCATTACTGAGCTCCTTCAGAATCTACCTCTGTTGCAGAGCCACCTAGCTTGAGGTCACACTCTTCCAAGAGCAGCCCACATCAATGGCAAGGATATAAAGTCCCAGCCAAAAATAGAATTCCTGTTTAAAAACTAGTATCTCATGCATTTATTATGTGCAGGTGTATGGTTTGAATTTTCACTGTTAATATCCTCAAGATGGATACATAACAGTTAACTATGCTTTGGAATTTGTGAATGCTTATGAGGTCTGCTATGGTCTGAATGTTTTTGTACCTCTAAAATTCATATGTTGCAATCCTACCCCTAAAGGTATGCTGGTAGTAGCTGGGGCCTTTGGGAAGTGTTTAAATCATGAGGGTGGAGCCTTATGAATGGGATTAGTGCCTTTACAAAAGAATCTCCAGAGAAATCCCTAGCCCCTTCCACCATGTGAGGACACATGTAGAAGGTCCCAGCTGTGAATCAGGAAGAGATCCCTTACCCAACCATGCTGGCACTTTGATCTTGGACTTCCAGCATCCAAAACTGTAAACATTAAAGTTCTTTTGTTTTTAAGCTACCTGGTCTATGGTATTTTGTTATTGCAGTTCAACAATATAAAGACAGGGTCCTTAAGAAGAGGAAAACTGAAACCTTCTCTACGAGGTTTGCTTTCACAACACAAAGAATACAGGACTCTCATGCAAAACTACTTGTGCAAAGAAGCGTTAACAGTCAAAATTTATAAAGTATCTAAAGAAAAAAATAGCATGAAAGAGACTCAACAGAAAATAGGAGAATTGACACTTTAAGAACTACAGACAATAGAATTTTGAAAAATATTTTAAAACAAAGATATTGGAAATGTTCAAAAACAAAGGAGCAGTTATCCTTAAGGGAAGGATATAGATAAAATAACAGACAGATTTTTTAAAAATTAAAAGCCCTAAGAAAGAAAAAGGTAGTCATTGAAATAACCACCTAAATTCCTTTGCATGTTTCATAATGGATGATAGACTGGATTTTGACCACATCCTGTCTTAAAATAAGACCTACTAGTTCCCCCCCACCCCCACCCCATTCCATACCTTTTCACAGTTAGCTGAGTCTGGGACCCTGCAGGCACTTTTTTTTTTTTTTAAGTTAACTTCTTTATTGGAGTACAATTGCTTTACAATGGTGTGTTAGTTTCTGCTTTATAACAAAGTGAGTCAGCTATACATATACATATATCCCCATATCTCCTCCCTCTTGCGTCTCCTTCCCACCCTCCGTATCCCACCCCTCTAGGTCGTCAAAAGCACCGAGCTGATCTCCCTGTGCCATGTGACTGCTTCCCACTAGCTATTTTACATTTGGTAGTGTATATATGTCCATGCCACTGTCTCACTTCGTCCCAGCTTACCCTTCCCCCTCCTCGTGTCCTCGAGTCCATTCTCTATATCTGCGTCTTTATTCCTGTCTTGCCCCTAGGTTCTTCAGAACCATTTTTTTTTTAATTCCATATATATGTGTTAGCATACGGTATTTGTTTTTCTCTTTCTGACTTACTTCACTCTGTATGGCAGACAGAGTCCATCCACCTCACTACAAATAACTCAGTTTCGTTTCTTATTATGGCTGCCTGCAGGCACTTTTGAGGTCATCATTACTGCAGGTTGGCCTTATCCTGCTACTTGGAGTACTATTGATAGTAGCTTTTACTTAAATGCTTTAAGTGACAGATTGAACAGATTTGGTTTTAGCCTCTGTTGGTCAAATTAATTAAAATGGCTGACAGACAGAGTGGCATACTTAACATGAATATTTGAATTCAGCCAAGAACATGTTGGGGTAGATTGTTGGGAGAGGCAGTGCTGTGGACCTGCACATTCTTGCTGGGTATACCAAGAATGTGGGGCCTTGATTACCTAGGACATTTCTCAAGGTTGTGTTTGTAGCAAACAGACTTGAGGGATGAAGTATTTTCTCCTTCCAAAAAGAGCAGGCTTGCTTCAGTTTGATATAAAAATGGTGAATTCCCCCAAGCTCAGTGTTCCTCTCCTGTAATACAACCCACTGCAAACATCTATCTGGACCTACCTACATTATATTTGCAGGACTTGGAGGGCATGGGGAACCAACAGAAACATGAAGCTCTGGCTACTGCTCTTGTCATTAGTAATAAAGTCCTTTTTCTCTGACCCAGGGATCTCATGTCTTCTGCTAGCATTCATGAAATAGTAATAAAGCTAACTCATAAACAAGTAAGTAGGGTAAACTCTCAGACTCTGCACAGTTCTTGACAATTGCAAAAATCAATTACAAGAGGGTTTTTAAGTCAAAAAGTGAAAGGTAAAACCATGAATGAATCTTTTCAAGAAGAAAGCATAGGAGACTATTTTCATGAATGTAGAACAGTGAAAGAGTTCATAAACAGGACACAAAAAAAATACTTGCTATAAAGAAAACACATATTGGACCTCATCAAATGTACTTCTCTACAACATAAAACATGATTAAGAGAATGAAAAGGCAAACCACAGAATGGGAGTCTATAATTGCAACATATATAATCAACAGAAGGCTCATGTCTGTAATATAAGAGGAACTCCTACGTACCACTAAGTAAAACAGTCAACCCAAAAGAAAACTGGATATGATACTTGAACAGAAACTCCAAGAGACTATCCAAATGTATCAATACAATAAAGGAATGAAAATGTGCTCAAATTAATAATCTGGGATTGAAATTTAAAGCCACAATGCATTGTTACTATACCCTCACTATACTGGCAAAAATTAAAGAGACTGACAATGCCAAGTGTTGACAAGGATATGGATTCCAGAAACTTTCATTGATTGATGGTAGGATTTTGAATCAGTACAGACACTTTGGAAAACTGTTGGGCATTGAGCTAAACATATGCATACCATATGAGTCAGCAGTTCTACTCCCAGGTATATACTTGATTGAAACATAGGCACATGTGTACCAAGAGACATGTCCCAAAATATTCATATTAATATTCCTAATAGTAAAAAGTGATAAACCACCACACTGTACATCAACAGTCAAATAGATAAATAAATTGTTCGTACAGTGGAATATTATGCAGCAGTGAAAATGGGCATGAACAAACTATAGCTATCTACAACAATGCAGATGAATCTTGCAAAGATGTTAGCAAAAGAAGCGAAAGAAATATGGTGGAGCAATAGTAAAACCAGACTGAATGGTTTTACTGAAGTGAAAAACATCAATATAGATAGAGACATTACTTAAGGGTAAAAGGAATGTTCCACGAGAAGATAAAATGATCATGAATTTGCAACCAACACCGTAGTCTTATAAAGAGGAAAACTCACAATTACAGGGACAATTGTCAAATTTAGTCATGGTAGGAAACTTAATACATGATATTTTATAAGTACAGAAAGAATACTGTATGCTCTTTATGCATATATACTTTAGTATTAGAAGTATAATAAAATCATGGACAGAAACTATTTTTAAAACTTCATGGTAGTAGTTGTTTCTGCAAAGGGAGATAAAGAGAGTCAACCTGAATAGGTGGACAGAGGCTTTAATTTTATCTGAAATGTTATATAATCGATTTAATCTTATTAATATTATTAGTATTAATATCATAATTATATTATTAATTAATAATTATATTATTAATATTATTAATATAATGTTTTGAAATGGATTAAAGACCTAAACATAAGGCCAGATACTATAAAACTCTTAGAGGAAAACATAGGCAGAACATTCGTTGACATAAATCACAACAAGATCTTTTTCGATCCACCTCCTAGATTAATGAAAATAAAAACAAAAATAAATGATTGAGGCCTAATTAAACTTAAAACCTTTTTCACAGCAAAGGAAACCATAAACAAAATGAAAAGACAACCCTCAGAATGGGAGAAGATATTTGCAAACAAAGCAACCGACAAGGGATTAATCTCCAAAATATACAAACAGCTCATGCAGCTCAATATCAAAAAAACCAACCCAATCAAAAAATTGGCAGAAGATCTACATAGACATTTCTCCAAAGAAGACATACAGGTGGCCAAAAAGCACATGAAAAAATGTTCAACATCACTAATTATTAGAGAAATGCAAATCAAAACTACAATGAGGTATCACCTCATACCAGTCAGAATGGCCATCATCAAAAAATCTACAAACAGGGACTTCCCTGGTGGTCCAGTGGTAAAGAATCTGCCTTACAATGCAGGGGACGCGGGTTTGATCACTGGTCAGGGAACCAAGATCCCACATGCCGTGGGGCAACTAAGCCCGCACGCCACAACTACTGAGCTCGCACGCCTCAACTAGAGAGCCCATGTGCTGCAAACTGCAGAGCCCATGTGCTCTGGAACCCGTGCACCACAGCTACAGAGCCCACATGCTCTGGAGCCAGTGTGCCACAACTAGAGAAGAGAAAACCTGCATGCCACAACTAGAGAGAAGCTTGCGCACTGCAACAAAAGATCCTGCATGCCTCAATGAAGATCTTGCACGCTGCAACTAAGACCTGATGCAGCCAAAAATAAATTAAAAAAAAAAAACAACTACAAACAGTAAATGCTGGAGATGGTGTGGAGAAAAGGGAACCCTCCTACACTGTTGGTGGCAATGTAAATTGGTACAATCTCTATGGAGAACAGTATGGATGTTCCTTCTAAAACTAAAAATAGAACTACCATAGGGCCCAGTAGTCCCACGCCTGGGCATATATCCAGAGAAAACCATAATTCAAAAAGATACATACACCCCAATGTTCATTGCAGCACTATTTACAATAGCCAGGACATGGCAACAACCTGAATGTCCATTGACAGAGGAATGGATAAAGAAGATGTGGTACATATATACAGTGGAATATTACTTAGCCGTAAAAAAGAACGAAATAATGCCATTTGCAGCAACATGGATGGACCTAGAGATTGTCATACTAAATGAAGTAAGTCAGACAGAGAAAGACAAATATATCACTTATATGTGGAATCTAAAAATAGGGTACAAATGAACTTATCTACAAGAGAAAAATAGAGTTACAGTCATAGAAAACAAACTTATGGTTACCAGGGGATAGGGAGAGGGGGAGAGATAAATTAGGAGGTTTGGATTGACATATACACATGACTGTATATAAAACAGATAAATAATAAGGACCTACTGTGTAGCACAGGAAACTCTACTCAATACTCTGTAATGGCCTATGTGGGAAAAGAATCTAAAAAAGAGTGGATATATGTATATGTATAACTGATTCACTTTGCTGTACACCTGAAACTAACACAACGTTCTAAATCAGTTATACTCCAATAAAAAATTTTTTTAAAAAAGAACAACTTCATGGTAGTAGTTGTTTCTGCAAAGGGAGATAAAGAAAGTAAACCTGAATAGGCAGACAAAGGAGGCTTTAATTTTATCTGAAGTGTTTTATATCTTATGAAAGATACCTGACACAAAATGATAAAATAAATTTTTAAATTATTGGTTTTGGGTACATGATTTATATCATTCTATTTTATTTTTCTGTATTTTTGAAAATTTTCATTATAAAATGGTAATGTACATAAACTAGCAAAAACTTGTAGAAATAAAAAGAAAAGTTGATTTCAAAATGCAAGTATTGAAAACTAAGATTTCTACAGATTTAGTAGAAAAAATAAGAACATAGAAGAATTAAGTGATACTCATCGATAATCATATACACATATTTGTGTACTAATCAATAAATAATCATATACACATAATATATTTGTGTATACATACACGGAGAGAGATATTTAGACACACATATATAATACACAGAAAGAGAACATTACATTTCTCAGAGAGTATACATTCTCTGAATATTATAGAGCATATACAAAATCAGTCATGTATTTGGCCACAAAAATACCTCTTACAAATTTAAGTAAAAAACAGCAAAATAGACAATCCTGAGAAAAGAAAATCTAGATAGCCAGCATGTTTATGAAAAGATATTAAATTTACTAGTAATTAAAGAAATACAAATTAAAGTAATGAGATACCACTCTTCACGATCTTCCAACATTTAAGAGTAAGTAGATCTTTAAAACAGTGCTAAGGGATTTCCCTGGTGGGGCAGTGGTTAAGAATCCACCTGCCAATGCAGGGGACACGGGTTCGAGCCCTGGTCCGGGAAGATCCCACATGCCACAGAGCAACTAAGCCCGTGAGCCACAACTACTGAAGCCCATGCACCTAGAGCCTGTGCTCTGCAACAAGAGAAGCCACCACAATGAGAAATGTATGCACCACAACGAAGAGTAGCCCCCACTCGCTGCAACTAGAGAAAGCCCACGCACAGCAATGAAGACCCAACGCAGCCAAAAATAAATAATAAATAAATAACAAAAAAACAAAACAAAACAAAAAAAACACTGCTGAGTGAAAGATTAAGCAAATCTATGACAAATACCACATACATAAATTAGAAATATATCCATATAACAATCATGTTAAGAGGGTACATACAACAAAAGGATACGTATTAGACATTAGAATGGTTTCCTGGAGTGGTGGGGGATGAGATTGGGAAATGGACATAATGGAAAAATAAATAAAATGAACAATAATACCTGCTGCTTAGGAATGTAGAGGAAAGGGAACCCTCCAACACTGCTGATGGAAATATGAAGAAAACAATCTGACACCATATGTTAACATATCCTAGAAACAGTGGAATTCTCATCAATAGGGGATGACTAAAGTCATCCACACTGTGAAATATTATATCAGCATTAAAGGAGAGTTAAAACCACACTTGATGCTTTAAAGAATTTCCTAAGGTATTATTGAATGAAAGAGGGTGTAGAAAAGTGAGTATACAGTGATGCCATTCTAGGAAACAGTGATCTCTCCCCACCCCCAACCTAACCCTTTAAATGTATGTTTGAGTACATACATACATGTGTGAGTAAATGTATGTGTGTACAAGCACAGAGAAAAAATAAGAGGGAACATACATGGAATAGGGTGAGGAACTAAATAATGGAAGGGGGAAGGAAAGGAGAGGGAAAGGCAGAGGCAACCAAAAGAAGAAAAAATAAAGATTGCACTGAAAAAATCCAAGTGTATGATCATATTTATTCATGAATGTAAAAGTGTATATATGAGGGAGTATTTTTAGGCAGAAATTAAATAAGGTTTGTATTATTTGTTTAACATATGAGTGTCTCGGATAGTTGGAATCTCAGGCCACGTATGAGGTATGTTGGTCACATAGGTCTCGGTTGTTGCCTGCTTTGATAACTCTGTGCATATGCACTAAGTTTATTATCTCTGTGATTTGTACTATTTGTGGAATCTTTGTGGTTACAGTTCTTTCTTGAGTGATTCTAATACCTGCATAATTTTTAAGAAAAATAGTGAAAGCAAGATTGTTGGATTAACAAATAAAATTTGTCAATTTGTAGGCCCTAATTTAATGTTTACTTAGAAATATGTGACTAAAAACTTGGTGGAAACTGTGTCTTAGGAATTGGAGAGACTGACTTAAGAAAAATATCTTGTCATCAGAATGCATTTTAGTAAATGAGGTACGCTGAGAAAAAGTTGTAGAGGAAAAGAAACTTGCATAACATAACTGAGCACAGACTAGGCTTTTGCATCTTACCAAGCTTAAGTTGTAAATATTCATATAAAATGTACACCCTGTTTATGAAAGGACTGAGCACTAACAAATAGCATTTGGAGGTTCCTTAAAAAACTCAAAATAGAACTACCATATGACCCAGCAATCCCACTATTGGGCATATAACCTGAGAAACCTATAATTCAATAAGAGACATGTACCACAGTGTTCATTGCAGCACTATTTACAATAGCCAGGACATGGAACCAACCTAAATGTCCATCGACAGATGAATTATCATAAAGAGGATGTGGCACATATACACAATGGAGTATTACTCAGTCATAAAAAGAAACGAAATTGAGTTATTTGTAGTGAGGTGGATGGACCTAGAGTCTGTCATACAGAGTGAAGTAAGTCAGAAAGAGAAAAACAGATACCATATGCTAACGCATATATATGGAATCTAAAAAAAAAAAAAATGGTACTGATGAACCTAGTTTCAGGGCAGGAATAAAGATGTAGACATAGAGAGTGGACTTGAGGACACAGGATGGGAGGGGGAAGCTGGGACGAAGTGAGAGTAGCATCGACATATATACACTACCAAATGTAAAACAGTTAGCTAGTGGGAAGCAGCTGCATAGCACAGGGAGATCATCTCGGTACTTTGCGATGACCTAGAGGGGTGGGATAGGGAGGATGGGAGGGAGGCTCAGGAGGGAGGGGATGTGGGGACATGTGTATGCATATGGCTGATTCACTTTGGTGTACAACAGAAACTAACACAGTATTGTGAAGCAATTATTCTCCAATAAAGATCTATTTTAAAAAAAAAATTAGGAATCAGTACCTGTACAGTGTAATTTACTATATTGTATTTGTATTTCAGATGCCTTTGGTGCTTCATGAAGAATATTTCTAGATATATCACAGACATTAAGCCTTTGCCACCCAACATAAAAGATAGACTGATCAAAATAATGAGCGTGCAGGGGCAGATAACAGATTCGAATATAAGTGAGGTAAGAGCATATACAAAGAGCATGTATAGCCTGTAAAGCAGGCTATTATATTTTACTGTTTAGCTGTGGTTTCAGATTTTTGGAACAGTGGTTTATAGTAGGATTAGTAATAATTTTAAAATATAATAAAGTGTTGGGGTTCTTTTTTTCTCCAGATAACCAGAACGTCCATGTGTAATAGTTTCTAAAAAATCTTCTCCCACTGTTCTTTCAGGTGTTTCTCTTGTCTTCATGGTACCAGCGTCCATGAACTCCATATTTTCAAGAAGTTTAAACTTTTTGATTGAGTACACCTTAATAAAGCTGGAAAAAAATTAAAATGCAGGGTGAATAAACAAATGGCAAAAAAAAGACCCACAGTAAGAAATATATATGTTACATTGTGACGCTAGCACACAAGCCACACCTATGTGTAACAGTACTCTGTACAGTACACTTGGATATTTTCTATTTTATTCTAGTATGTCTTATTCCATTTAAAAAATGATCGTAGCCTATTGACTTTGTCCATTCATGGTTAGCAGTCAGTTAAAAATCATTCTTCTAAATTCTTCTCATTCTTCTTGGGTACCTCACTCCGGCTAATTTATACTTACTCCCCTTCACTAACTAAGCTAAAATTAAATATTCTGTAAGGGAATAAGTATAGTAAAGGCCTCCAACCTGAATTAAAATTCTAGCCTTTCTACTCTTTCTGACATTGAACCACAGTTGTCTTAACTGTAAAATGGATTTGCAGCTATCATCACTCACTGCCTACAGAGACTGGAACTACTTATTGCTGACTTTACTACATATTCTGCCCAAAGCCTGTGATCAAAAGGAAGCAAGCTCTGATGGTAGCACTCCCCATATGTCTACAGTGGTGACTTCACATTGGAATTGTGCTTCAGTGTGCCATAGTGTTTTCTCTACATTAACTTGATGTGCCTTTAATGCTTTATTTTCTTCCTGTTAGCTTGCATTTGAACATAGACATTTTAGTGTTGTAGTCTGCTTTTCTCTTTGGAGGTAGAGTCCAGTTCTTATTGTTGATGGTTCTGTGGATGTATATAATGTATGTGTGGCTCACAGATGAAACATTGACGCTACAGAAAGCGTGGTTTTCTTCACTTCCCCACATCCCTTTAACCTGTATTTCAGTGACTTAAATTTTTGTTTTATGACAATCCTGAACATTCATTTAAACCTAATTTTACCTGAATAAAAAAGGGCTGAGGGGGTAAATGAGATAGAAAAATCAAAAGCATTATTTCCCTTGGTGTTTCCGTATAATCCCCATCCTTATGAAAGTCCTGCTTATGAAATTATTTAAAAGACCAGATCTAACATTTTTTTAAAAGTTGCACACATCTGGGGATGGCTCTTTTTGAAAAATTTCCTAAATCTTTTTATAGTCTCTGGGTGGAGAAGGCCTTTTTTTTTTTTTTTTTTTTCTTGCGTTATGCGGGCCTCTCACTGTTGTGGCCTCTCCCATTTGCGGAGCACAGGCTCCGGACGCGCAGGCTCAGCGGCCATGGCTCACGGGCCCAGCCGCTCCGCGGCATGTGGGATCTTCCCGAAACGGGGCACGAACCCGCGTCTCCTGCATCGGCAGGCGGACTCTCAAGCACTGCGCCACCAGGGAAGCCCGGGAGAAGGCCTTTTTAAACATGACACCAAGTTAGAAAACAAGAAGAAAAAGATTGATAGATTTAAATATATAAAAATATAAACTTCTTTATGGCAAGAAGAAAAAAATAAAGTAACAAACTAGGAAAAATATTTGCAGTATGTGTGAAATTCTATTTTTTTTTATCTTGCCAATGTAAATCATGCCTGCAAACCACTAAGAAAAATCAAAACAAACAAATAATAAAACAGAAGAATCAGGAAATACTTCAAGGAAAAAATATAAATCACCAATAATACGTAAAAGAATATTTAACCTTATTAGTAATCAAAGTCACAGTTTGTCTTTCAGTTTAGCAGAGACTTGAAAAATAGTAATACCTGGTGCTGGCAATAGTGTGGGGAGCAATCACTTTTATCCCCTGCTGTGAGAGTGTAAAATGATTTTAAAAAACCTTTTAGGAGGACAGTTTGGCATTCTATCAAAAGTCCTAAAAATTTGCTTACCATTGACTCAAAATTTTCACTTGTTATTTTTTTTCCAGCTTTATTGAGATATAAGTGACATATAACCTTGTGTAAGTTTAAGATGTACAACACACGTGATGACTTGATACACTTATATATTATGAAATGGTTACCACGGTAGGTTAGTTAACATCTCCATCACCTCACATAATTACCATTTACTGTTGTTAATCTCAAGAAAATAATAATTTAAAAAGCACACAAGAATGCTCACCATAACATTTTCGTAATAATAAAATAGCTAACGGTTATATATAGCATATATTATAAGCAAGGTACCTTTATTTCTCACAAATATCATCCTCATCTTAATGAGGATAGTGAGGCACAAAAAGAAAGCAGAGCTTGATCACAATCACAGGGTTGGAACTCAGGCAGCCTGCCTCCAGAGTACATGTTCTTATACACTGTACTATATTGCCTCTTAAAATCAGTCTGAATATTCAACTTAAGTGTTTGCCAGTGTAGAATGCATTTAATAAGTTACGGTGCATGCATAAAATGAAATAGTATGCAACCACAATTAATTATTTTTATAAAAAGTGCCCATTTATAAATAAATGTGATCTGATCCCATTTTTCTTCAAATGTTTTTTTAAAAACTCAAAAAACATCAAAACTAATATTATGTTTGTCACTGGGTGTTGATATTATGGGTAATTTTAGCTATAACTAGTTAAACGCATGGCCTTTGGAATTAGGAAGACCTGGCTTCCAATCCTAGCTCTGCTCCTTTTTTAGCTGTGTACTTTGTGTTGCTACTTAAGCTCTGGGTGACTCAATTTTCTCATTTATAAAATAGCAATGACCAGTCTCTTAGGGTGGTGTGTGTGTGTATGTGTGTGTGTATGTGTATGTAAGAGAGAGAGAGAAAGAGAGAGAATATTAAATGACGTATTTTATATAACACACTTAGTACCCTTCCTGGTAAGTGCTCAATAAATAGAAATAGTTACTTGTATCATTTCTATAATTTTTCTGTGCTGTCTGAATGTTTTACAATAACAGTACATTACTTTCATGTTCAGAAAATTATAAGCCATTTCTATTTTCATAAAAATAAAGCAAAAGAGAAGGAAAATATCCCCAGAAAAAGAGCTCAGAATGCTCTGAAATTGATCTGCTATTTGCTGCCCTCAAGTAAACATTCAGTAATACTGGGTTTGTTTGTACTAGCTCCCAAAAATAAAAATGAAGGAGGTAAACATTCTAGATAAGCATTTGGTATATAAGTGCCTAAAGACTCGTACTTGCTGAGCAAAGACACAGAGTTAGAATCTCTAATAATAGGAACCACTGGAAGAGGATAAGCTCCCCCCACCACCTTGGTTCTGCTTGCAGGTCTAGTGGGTCCTTACTCTGTACCAGCTGTCTCAACAGTGCTCTGTGTCCCAGTAAGACTTTGGGGACACTAGAAGCTGCACCTCTAGTTGGAAGTAGGTTGGTTTTTTCCTGCTCTATGTATCTGTCTTCACACAGATATGTTTCTGTATTCTTTGCTGTATTTTCCACCTGCTGTTTGTCTTTTATGACCATCAAAACACTGAATATGGAATAAACATTTATATTTATAGGAAATATTAATTTCTCAAAATCATGTATTTATTATAGATTTTACATCCTGAAGTCCAAACTCTAGATCTACGAAGCTGTGATATTTCAGATACTGCTCTCCTGCACCTATGTAACTGCAGAAAATTGAAGAAATTAATTTTAAATTCCTCAAAAGAAAACAGAATTTCCATAACTTCAAAAGGTATGTTTATTAACACAATGAATTGGTTGAGTACTATTCACCATCTGGCATAATTTTGGAGCAGAGAAGGGGAAAATATGTTAAAAGAGAGTATAAGTATGTCAAAGAAATAGGAACTATATTTATCAATAAAATATTCAAACTAAGCTAAAGAATCCAAATTAGAATTCTTGCTTATAATCAGTGCTGAAAGTTGGGAAATACACTAAGTCACTACCTTGAAGTTTAAACATATTTAAAATAAACATGGATAGATACCTCTATATTTTAAATATTTTACCTAGTATAGTGAAACAAGAAATGACCAGTTCATACTTTGTTAAGGCTTTCTTGTAATATTACAACAGAAAGTTAAATCATCATCAGATTAAATTTACTAGGCACTCTCCTATCAGCCTGTTCACTGCATAGTTTTGTAGCCAGAGCATAAGCTGCCCCATTTTGAACAGCACAAAACTAATCATATATTTTCCACTTCTGCTGCCATAAAACTATATTAGACAATGACTGATTGACTAGGAAAGAGCTAATCCTGCTTGCTTAATTCCAGATACCAACTTCAAGGACATTGGCCTGGAAGGTGGCAACAATTTAATAAGCCAGTCAAGTAGCAAAATCACCAAGCTCCCAGTTCCCTGAAAGATATAAAGGTCTAACACACACTCCTAAGTTGTTTTTACAGGAAGCATATCCCCACGAGATGAAAACTGCTGACCATCAGCACGTAGACCCCAGACTGGTTGAAACCAGAAGATTGGTGTTGCTTGAAACTTCACCTTGATGCCAAGCAATCTGAAAACTGTGTACAAACTGCTCATGTACCCTGCAGCTCCCTCCCTCACACTGCCTATAAAACCTTTGTCTCCCATCTGGCAACTTGGAGATGGTCTTAGGACAGTAGTCCACCAGCTTCCCAGGTTGCTGGCCTCCTGAATGCAGCAAACTTTTCCTTTTCCACCAATAGTTGTCTCTGGAGTATTGGCCTTTCGAGCAGCAAGCAGCTGAACTTGGTACCGGCCTTGTCCAGTTACAGTTTTTATTGTTTTTGTTTTTGTTTTTTTGCAGTATGCGGGCCTCTCCAGTTACAGTTTTTTATAGCCAGACGCACTGCATTTTTCAGTGTGACTGTTACATGAATTAATGGATTTTTACCATTTTTTTCAATAGAGGATTTTTATCTTTTTCTTCAGTATAAGAAAGAAAGAGTTATTTGGTTACCTAGGTTTCTGAAAAATCTTGTGGGTAGTTGGCTCTATTTTACAATCAGCTTGGTTAGCAAGTTAGGATATTCATAATACTGCAAAGAAGCATAAGTTTTAAAATGTTTACACAAATATTGACTCACTAAAAAGAACTTTCATGCTGGACACTAATGAATAAGAGTTCTTTCTTAAGATGTGGAAAACAATAAAAATGACCTACACACGAATTTACCATCTTCGCTTTTGTGTATTTTGCCCATGAAAGTGTCTTTTAACAGTGCTATAATGTTTGTCCATGACTAAAGGGCCCAGGATTCCTGAAGTACATTTCTATTTATGTGGCACATTATCACATACCTGTCACCAAAGTGCTTTTACATCAGTTGAATTGGATTTAAGGGCTTCTGTTTTCTTGACCCTTGATAAAATGTAAGATTGGTCCAGGCTAACAAAGAAGGTGCATGTTGGTAGCAAAGGGCAGAATCAAAGAGGGAAGAGAGAACACAGAGATACAGGTATGATTCCTAAGGATAAGCATGAAAACTATTACTTAAGACATTTGGGCCATTTAACTTTTGATTTCTTTTCAGAGTCCACGAGAAAATTAACTTCATTTAAAACTTTTAACAAAAAGGAGAATCATCTACTATTTAATTACCTGTTTTGGTTCTGAATGACTTTTGGCTATTTCCTAAAAGCAAGTCTAATCATAAACAAGTCTTGTCATTAATTGCAGATATTCTGAAGAATATACTACAGATTATGTAGAGAATTCTTGAAACATTCCAAAAGAGTTTTAAATAATGACAACATCACTGGAAATAAAGTATATCCCCACATGCACTACTTTATCAGTACTGGTGATGAAATGAAAATCAGTCACATTTCTCATATATAAACATATATAGCTCATTGATACAGAATTATGTTTTCCCTCAGGAATAAAAGCTGTGGCTTCATCTTGTTCTTACCTGCACGAAGCTTCTTTGAAAAGATGCTGCAATCTCACTGATGAAGGAGTCCTTGCTCTTGCACTCAATTGCCGGCTGCTAAAGATCATTGATTTAGGTGGCTGCTTAGGTATTACTGATGTGTCCTTGCAGGCATTAGGAGAAAACTGCCCGTTTTTGCAGTGTGTTGATTTTTCAGCTACTCAGGTAAATGAAATACAGACTTGAAAGGTAGAGACTGTATGTATTTGCCCAGAGTATTTCCATAACTTATCAGAACATAATTAATTCTTTTTGTTGTTGCTAAATTTTTTTTTATTTATTTGTTTATGTATTTATTTATTTATTTTTGGCTACATTGGGTCTTCGTTGCTGCGAGCGGGCTTTCTCTAATTGCGGAGAGTGAGGGCTACTCTTCGTTGCAGTGAATGGGCTTCTCATTGCGGTGGCTTCTGTTGTTGTGGAGCATGGGCTCTAAGGTGTGCGGGCTTCACTAGTTGTGGTGTGTGGGCTTCAGTAGTTGTGGCTTGCGGGCTCTAGAGCGTAGGCTCAGTAGTTGTGGTGCACAGGCTTAGTTGCTCCGCAACATGTGGGATCTTCCCGGACCAGGGTTCAACCCGTGTCCCCTGCATTGGCAGGCGGATTCTTAACCACTGGCGCCACCAGGGAAGTCCACTAAAATTGTTGGCTTCATGCTTTGATAGTTAAATAATTACAGTATAATTTGGCACACACACCCCCCCCCAATTATTTTCAGTAAGGGTGGAAGGTATGTGTGGCTAAGACACTTTTGCCAAACGGGAGGAAATAAAACTATATCTAAATAATTAATAATTTTTATAAAAGTTTGCTTCCATCATCTCCATTTACGTGCTATGTTCCTTTTTTCCTTTGCTCAGGTATCTGACAGTGGTGTGGTTGCGCTTGTTAGTGGACCTTGTGCCAAGAAATTAGAGGTAATTTTAAAATACCTGTAAAGATGATGATTATCTGAATTCACATTATCCTCAGAAATTCTTTTTTAAACCTAGAAGACAACCAGTGCCTTATTCTCAATTAGGTATTAACATGGACTTTTTTTTTTGCCTCTACCCCTTTATTCCCAGAGTGAAGAAAAACTGGTTAAAGTTAGGAGATAAAGTATACTTTATAATAAAACCCATTTTGTTTCCAATAAAAGTTCTTATTCTCCAGAAATTTTAGCTTCTAATACATTTAAAGATAGTCTTATTATGGATGAAAATACTGAAAATTTATCAATGTAAAATGACATTCTTTAGAATTTTCATGTCTGGCTGATATTTTTACCAGGACTACTTACTCTCTTGCCAGTGTATTTTTCTTGACATCATATTTATTCTCTTGCCATCATCTTTTTCTGAATCCATGAAGGGATCCAGACTATACCACTGTGGCATAAAAATTATTTTGATCTGAAGATGTCTGAGAAACAACAAGGGTTAAAAAAAAAAAAAGACTTTGTCTTAAACCCCACTTTCCCCCATCTGCCTAAAAGCAGACCATTCCAAAAGAATTCAACTGCCTCAAACCCCCTTTAAGGTAGGCTTCCCATACATTGGGAAGTCAGATGACAGATTGCATTAAATAAACATTGTCACAAGATTATCGTTAAGTCCCATCTATTCTCCTAAAGGTCATTTTGTCTTCCCTAAAAAGTCACCTGTTTTTCTGAGTGTCCTTTCTCCCCCTCCCCTTCCCCTATCAAGATGGTATATACTCTAAATTCTAGCCATTTCTTTGAGCCACTTTCTTTGTGATCTTGTGAATAAACTTCATCTTTTCTCTTGCTAATCTTATTGTCAGTTTAATTCGAAGGCTTCCAAAGACAAACATAAGAGGATAGAGAAAAGGTTCTTCCTCTCCAGAAGCCACACTGTGCAGCTGTTTAAAAAGATCTTAAATTAGTGTTCAGCCTTTGATCCAATGACTGATGTGATACCTGTAACCTATTTCTAAATATGAAGAAGACTTTTGTCCCAAGATTTTGGTTTTTTCCTTTTTCAGTTTACAGTGTTTTATTTTGTTTTTACTCATAATTAATATAGCTGTGCTTTTCAACAATAAATCACATCAAATCCTTTTTGGAAGTAAGCTGGCTATAAATGAATTATAAAAGTTAGTAATCACTATTATAATAGAATGGTGGTGCAATGTTTTTGCCAAAATATTTCTGCTTGATTTAATGCTCAAATAGTTTTTTTGGTGATATTTATATATTTGCATTCTGCTTGTATTTATGTATGTATGTGTATGTGTGTATATAAAATAGCATATATATTTTTACAAATCTTTTAATTAAGAAATTCCTTTCTTTAAAATATGAAGTTCCAAATTCCAAATTGCATTCTAACTGTAGGGACAATAACTGCCATAATTTTTACTGTTTAAATACTAACATTTGTTGAGCACTTACTACATTCTAGCCTCCATGCTACTGCCTTATATTCATTAGGTTATTCAATTTTTACATTATCCTATAATCACCATCATTTTTTTTTAACATCTTTATTGGAGTATAGTTGCTTTACAGTGGTGTGTTAGTCACCATCATTTTTAACAAAGTTCTCAAACAGTTAACCTAGTTTATCACTTCCTAATAAAACCACCAGGAAATTAGTTGTTATGCAGTGGTAGGAAATATACCTACATATTTACTTCAGCTTTATAAAATTAGGAGCACCAACCTAAGCAGACTTAGGAAAAAATCCAGTAACCAATGTGTTGGTCATTGTATTGTCACTGAATTTTTCACCTTTTCAGTTTTCCAAAGCTTATTTCTGTTAAGTGCCAAAACATTTTAATGGAAATCTTTCTGAAATTTGTTAGAACTTAATTCCTTCCTTAAAGGAATATATTTTAACCTTTGGCTCATAGCATCTTTCTGACCACAATTTCTGACTGAAACTGAAATACAAATGTCTTCATCTTTTTAACTGATTCTTCTCTTTTGGGTAACATGTATGCCTGCTATTTATTAGATACCCTGTTTTAATCTGTTGCTTTTAATTTGTTCAGTTCTGGAAAATTAAATTACCAATGTTGCTAAATAGTTTATAATTTGAAAATAAATAAGGACCTCTCCTAAAGATTGACATTTAGTACAAACGTATGCTACAGCGTTTGTTGAATGTCAGGATTGCCTCTGAAATCTCTGATGATCTGAGTTCTCAGTGAGCATGGACCATTTTATTCATCACTTTGTTGTCATTTTATCCCCAGGTTTGACTGCAGTTCCAGACATATGGTAGCACCTAATAAATGTTATCATATTCTTAACTTCATATTACAGTCATTTTATAGTTTGCTGTAATCTTCATGATTAAAAGTTTAATTTGCTGTATAAAATTATTCATTTATTAAATATTTATTGAGCATCTGCTATATTCTAGGCACTGGCATATCAGAGAACAAAATCTGTCCATGTTATGTATCACTTTCCTTTAATCATTTTTCTAATGTTGGTAATTCAGATTATTTACAGCTTTTAGCTACTGGAAATATTCATATGTTGGGACTTATCACTTTTTTCTTCCATTGCTATAATGAACTCTCCAAAATGAAACAAGTGGATCAATAGGTATGAATCCTTTTTTTAATGGTCCCAAATTCATATTGCTGAATTGTTTCCCATAAAGGTTATGTTGTGAATTCACAGTTTTTGCTAGGACCCCAATTTGCCAGAGTTGAATATTTTCTTTTTTTTAATGCCTTAATATATTTTAAATGAAACCTGACTTGAACACTGTTCCTTCCATCTCTTGTTCTCAGTTGTATTTCATTGTCTGTAGCCTTTGCCAATTCATATCATAGGATGCCTTTGCCAATGTATAATATACAATGCTTTCTGCCTCAATTTTTATGAGTTTTCAATATATTCAAGTTTCCTTTATTTCTAAGATATGATTAATTATAATATGTACACCAACATAGTATTTCTTTTCTCCTGAAAAGTTGATATTACCATAAGTATACATATCAATTACCACATGAATCTTGTTTCCAGAATTGTTAAATGTTTTTAATGTGAGCAAATATACATAAAAATTGCTATTTTAACCATTTTTAGTGTACAGTTCAGTGGAATTAAGTACATTCACATCATTGTGCAGCCATCACCATTAACTATCTCCAGAACTTTTTCATCATCCCAAATTGAAACTCCTTACCCTTTAAACAATAACTCCCCATTATCTTCTCCCCCAGCCTCTGGCAACCTCTGTTCTATCTTCTGTATTTATGAATTTGCCCATTATAATCACATTTTTTTTTTTAACCCATTCATCCATTGATATGTTTCCACCTTTTGGCCATTGTGAATACTGCTGCTATGAACATAGGTGTACAGATATCTGTTTGGGTCCCTGCTTTCAATTCTTTTGGGTGCATCCCTAGAAGTGAAATAGCTAGATCACATGCTAATTCTATGTATAATTGTTTGAGAAACTGCCATACTGTTTCCATAGCAACTGTACCCTTTTACATTCTCACCAGCAATGCAAAAGCGTTCTGAATTAGAACATTAAACAAAAGAGAGATAACGTTTCAAATATATGAAAAAGTATAGAAAGTAATATAACAGAGACCTGTGGACCAACCACTTGAATTTTAACATTTTCTGCATTTGTTCCAGTTCTTTTTTAAAAAATTATTATATGTTACATCTAAAGCTCCCTCCCCTTATTTATTCCCCCTTTCTTCCTTCAGAGGTAACCACTCTTCTGTGTATCTTTCCTTCCGTATTTGGATGCTTCATCTCTCTCGCTATGCATATGTGTGTGTATGTGTATATATATCCATAAATAAGATATTGTATTGTTTTATATGTTTTTAAATAGTACATAATAGTTTCATAGTGTGTGTGTTGTTTTACAATTTGCTTTTTTATTCAAAATTATGTTTTAAAATTTTTTCAAGCTTTATTGAGGTTTAATTTACATACAATAAAACTCACCTATTTTAAGTGTACAGTGTGGTGAATTTTGGTAATTGTTATACAGCCTTGTAACCACGACCACAGTTAAGTATAGAATATTTCCATCACCCTAAGAGGTTATCTCCCATCCCTTTGCAGTTAGTGCCCTGCTGTGGCCCTCTCCCAAGCAACCACTGATTTTGTCAGTATAGTTTTGCCTTTTCTATACTTTTGTATGAATGGAATCATGCAGTAAATTGTCTTTTGGTTTACTTTTTTCTTTTACTTCTTTCACTTGGCATAATGTTTCTGAGATTCACCCATGTTGTTGCATGTGTTAATATTTCATTCCTTTTTTTTTCTGAGTAGTATTCCATAGTCTGGAATATGACACAGTTTGTTCATACATTCACCATTTGATGGACATCCAGGTTGTTCCAATTTTGGACTATTATAAATACTGCTATGGACATTTGCATACAAGTCTTTGTGTAGACATATGGTTTCATTTTGAGGGGGTAAATACCTAGAATGAAATTGCTGGGTCATATAGTTAAGTACATGTTTAGCTTTATAAGATGCTACCATACTGTTTTCTAAAGTGTCTGAACTAACATTATGTTTAAGATTTATGTCTATTAATACAAATAGATATTTTTCATTGTAACTGTTTTATCTTATTACAATATATTAATGAACCACCATTTATTTACCCAGTCTCCACTTCTTTACTATTACAGATAATATTGCAATTGGCGTATTTATAAGTTGTTTCCTTACGCACATGTACAAGAGTTTCTCTCTATATATAGTGGACATCTGCAGTTGGAATTGCTGGGTTCTGGGGCATACTTACTGTCAGTTTTAATAGATACTGCCAAATTGCCTTATAAAGTGGTTGGGCATTTAACTCTTAAAGGTGCTATACCTTCCAAATTACTACAGATTTTCACTGGTCCTTTCTATGGAGTTTTTCTTGCAAGTAGATATTTGGGATTTTTGTTATCAGAGTACAGCATTTCCCAAGCTTTTTCACACTGTTATTATTGTCCTATTTTTTTTTTTTGATTATACTTTCTTTATTTTTAAATAGGAGATTCATATGGGATATTGTGTGAATCTGACTGATGAGGCTGTAGAAGCTGTCCTTACTTGCTGTCCTCAGATATGTATATTACTCTTCCATGGATGCCCCCTGGTAACAGGTTAGTATGAGGCTGCTTGGGTTCAAATCTTGGTTTCACCTTTTAATAACTGTGTGACCTTGAGTAAATTACTTAACCCATTCCATTATTCAGTTTCCTCACATTAAGTGGGTATAATGACAGTATCTACCTCATAAACTTGGTCATGATGATTATCTGACAACACTTGATATGGTGCCTAGCACATAGTGAGGGCTCAGTAAATGTTAAGTCATGATGATGATGGTGATGGTGGTGATGGCAAATGCTCAGTAAATGTTAACTGCCTTGAGGAGGAGGATGGTGGCAGTGGTAGTGGTCATGATATTAAACATTATGCTTTATGAAGTCAAGTTTATAATATTACATCTTTCAAATATGCTATATGACCTGCATTTTTTTTCCAATTTTATTTATTTATGTATGTATGTTTGTGTTGGGTCTTTGTAGATGTGCACGGGCTTTCTTTAGTTGTGGCGAGCGGGGGCTACTCTTGATTGCAGTGTGTGGGCTTCTCATTGTGGTGACTTCTCTTGTTGTGGAGCACAGGCTCTAGGCACACAGGCTTCAGTGGTTGTGGCTTGCGGGCTCAGCAGTTGTGGTGCACGGGCTAACTTGCTCCACAGCACATGGGATCTTCCTGGACCAGGAACCAAACCCATGTCCCCTGCATTGGCAGGCAGATTCTTAACCACTGCGCCACCAGGGAAGCCCCATAAATGACCTGTTAACTGTAATCTCATCAAGCTGTAGCCATTGAGATTCAGAATCATTTGGCTAATGTGGTACTTCACTAAAGTAGTCACAGCCCTTTTGGCTTGTATAAGAGCCATAATACTCCTTTCACATCACCCCTACAGTGGGTCCCATACCACAATATAACCAGGATCTTATGTGTGAGTCAGTACTTATGCCCAGCCCTTCCAGCTCTTTTACCTAATTACAGTCTAATAGTACTATCCTAGAAGTCCTTTTTGTTTGTTTGTTTTTGTTTTTGTTTTGTTTATGCGGTACGCGGGCCTCTCACTGTTGTGGCCTCTCCCGTTGCGGAGCACAGGCTCCGGACGCGCAGGCTCAGCGGCCATGGCTCACGGGCCCAGCCGCTCCACGGCATATGGGATCCTCCCAGACCAGGGCACGAACCCGTGTCCCCTGCATCAGCAGGCAGTGGACTGTCAACCACTGTGCCACTAGGGAAGCCCTAGAAGTACTTTTGACATCTTCTGGTTTTTCTTGTGTTTGGACTGCCAATCTAAACTAAGCCTGTAATGGGTTGTATTTGGTTATCAGTGACATATATAATGAAGACTAAATCTTATTTTAGGCAGACATCTCTCAGAACACTAAAGCCAAAAGTGACATTAGAAACTGTTACCAGTGGGTACCTCTAGGGAAGGTTGTGGAGAAACAAGACTAGGAAAAAGCTTTCACCATATACCCGTTTGTCCTTTTGAATTTTGTATCATGTGAATGATTTTACCTATTAAAAATCAGTAATCATAATTTTAAGAAAATAATTTAGAACTAGAAAAATTCATGTGACTGAGTATGGGGAATTCTGGTGGTTATGAGAAGGCAGGCAGAGGCTCTCTGGTCATCAAACAAGGCAGAAAATTATATTCTAACAAGTAGGCTATTATTGTAAGGTGGGGGAGACCACAGTATGTGAAATGTAATAAGCAATTTTTGATAATAGGTCTTTTCAGAATACCAACTAAAAGTATGTAAATCTACTCACTGAGCTATATGTACATTTAATCAATACATTGAACAAGAAAGTGGTACTCACAAAGTGACTCCATTTTCCTCACACTATATTAATTACAGGTTTGCTCTAAAGGGCCTAATATTTCCCAAAGCCAAATGAAAATCTCCAACATGTGCCACTGACTTTTCTTATCATTCTCAGATAGTTAAAAGTCTTGTCATTTTATATCACTGAAACCCTCTCATTTCAGCAATTAAAACGTCTTAGACCCATGTAATACTCCAAACAAGTTCAAATTAAAGCTTTTTGCTCCTCCAGTCAGCTCAAGTTTGCTGTAGGTGGAAAGGCTGCTGTGGGTAAGGGGATGTTGTTAGTTTCTCAGTTTTACCACCTCGCGCTTCTCTTCTTCCTTTCCCAGCTTGCCCACCATGGTTTCTGACCCCACCAATGTCAGTACAGGGTGGGACTGCAGTGAGCAGAAGGGAAGGGATGGGAAAGGAAAGTCTAACTTGACTACTATGGCTGTGATCTAGCAGCAGCACTGAGGGCCTGTGGGGAGCTGATCCTGATCCGTGCTCTCTCAGAAGTGGGGCACTTCTGATCTTCAGGGTCCACTTTCCACCCTGGACCCTGAGGGGAGGCCTCATCACTGCATATATCTCCTACATCTACAGTTCTCTTGATTCAAGCAAATGTGTCTCTTCTGGCTAGTAGCTAGCATTTTCTTCCTCTGCGCCCAGGCAGCTTGTGGTACACCTTCAGTCTCTTTCTGTTGAGGTTTCCTAGACCATCCAAGTTGCTTTCATGAGCAAACTACAAGGCAACCCATGCCAGTCCACATCTGTCCACAGGAAATACAATACTTTAGACAGTAAGAGTGCAGGTTATTTCCCAACTTCAGTCCTCTCTTGAGCCACATGGACTCTTACCATAGCCTTTTGCTTTTTAGTTTTCTCAGGTCTGATATTAGTGTAATGTCTCCCAAGCTCCAAGGGACAAATCAGATTCTCCAACTGATCTCCTTAGAGCCCCCTCTCACTAGGCTTGAAGGCAAGAGTAAGCACCTGCAACCCTCTTTCTACCACTCAAATCATAACTGTCTTCAAAGAAATCCTTTCTTCAATTTCCAGTTTTCCATCACTTCCCACTTTAACACTTTTATATCTTTGAATGGATGAGGCACCATGGATTCCAAAATGAGTTTTCAGCCAAGCATTTGCAAATCATGTACAAGTCTGGTATCTCATTTTGGAATGAGAGAGTAGCTGGTACCTCTAGTCCTGGAACCTTAGCTGAAATAGTTAGTGTTTTTTGGGTTTTTGTTTTTTTTTTTGCAGTACGCGGGCCTCTCACTGTTGTGGCCTCTCCCGTTGCGGAGCACAGGCTCCAGACGCGCAGGCTCAGCAGCCATGGCTTACGGGCCCAGCCGCTCTGTGGCACGTGGGATCTTCCCGGACCGGGGCACGAACCCGTGTCCCCTGCATCGGCAGGCGGACTCTCAACCACTGCGCCACCAGGGAATCCCAATAGTTAATGTTTTAATGTTCTATTTGTCTCAGGATAACTTGGCTACATAACATATTATAAACTCAGCCTTTGCTAATTTTATCTTGAGTATCTTTCTGGTTACAATTTGGAAATAGTTAATTTGGCATTTTCCCTCTACTTTTAATAAAAGTGAAGACAAACTATACACACAGTCAACCAGAAGAACTTATCCTTAGACAAACTGCTTAAAACAATCATCAAAGACCCTATAGGTAATGAAATCTTTAGAAGGTACAACCAAAAACTTAAAATTTGAGTACAACAAGGCCAATAATAAAACGCTTAAAGGTGCCTGTATCAATATAGAAATGACTAACAAATAGGAATTTTGAAGTCTGGAAAATATGTTGCAGTCATTAGTCTGATTTTTAAAGCAGAAGGCTTTTGTGATAAATTATATAATTACTGAGATCACTGGAAACCAAAGATGTATTATCAGTTGGTGAATTCAAGAGAAATGCCTACCTGGTATGATTATAGATACTAGGAAAGCTTAATCCCACTAAATCTTTCCACATCCACATAATGGCTCAGAATACTGAATTTACCAACTATCTTGCTACTGAGCAACAGCTACATAACCCCCCTCCTCAGCTCAGTCTTCTGGGAATTCCCTTACCTTACTCCCTTTCTGGGTAAGTGGAAGTTCTGTTGTGAGGGACTCCCCTTCCATGCAAACCTATCAAAGTGCTGCCCAATTAAAGCTCGTGTGCTATTGCCACCTTGTGGTCGTATCTTCTTCCTTGATCTGCCCCACAATCCCTTGATCTCACTAACTACAGTTATATGGTATGGTGTTCTAGAAGACATCAAGGGATAAAGCATAAAACAAAATATGTTTATATGTCCAAATGTTTGGGAAATGCAACATACCACTATAATGAATATTAATTTCTCAAAGGCTCTGAGAAATACTATTGCTAAGAAACTTAACTTTTTTAATCTAAGTGCCAGGGATTTAGACGTTTTCCTCTACCCTTTTAGGTTCTTCCAGCTGGTCTAAGAATTAAATTGATAGGAGGCAGATTAAGAGGCGAAAATCAAACAAAGTTTAATAACATGTATACATGGAAGAGACCCAGGAGAACTGAGTAACTCACCAAAATGGCTGAAACCCTCACCTTAAGTAACATTTTCAGCAGCTAAAGAGGATGTTGCGGGTAGAGGTTTGGGACTTCAAAAGGGAGGAAGGCAATTCACATGAAAGATGAAAAAGCAAATGTTTGGTAAACAAATATTTGTTGGGCCATGCAGCGCAATTGCGCCATAAAGGTACTCTCATCCCTAGGTCCTGCTGAGTTTCCACCACCACACCTAGCCCATATTTTTGCAGACAACCTCTGGCGATAACTTGATCTATACGTCTTTTAGGCAGTAAGGGGGAAGGTCAAAATTTCTTCTTGAGTCTTTTGGGCCTTGATTGTTATCAGCTTGAAATAATCCTCATGCCAAAGAGACATTTTGGGGTGGCACGTTTTGCTCCCCCACCCAAGCATTTCCCATGTATTTTTTAACACAGAATAATTCATATATTATTATTTTGATCCCTCCTTTCACAGAAGAGGAAAGTGAGAAACTGAAATGGTATTTGTCCATTGTGACATAGTTTTTAATAACAGTGCTAAGATTAAACAAAAATCTCAAGATAAAGTGAAATGAGCACCAATCCCTAGTCTCCTACCATCACTCCAAAACACTGAATAACTTAACTTCTGTGGACCTCAACTTTTCCTTACATATAAATGTCAGTCATAAAATTGGGTGA